AAAAAAAAATTAGCTGGGCATGATGGTGCATGCCTGTAGTCCCAGCTACTCAGGAGGCTGAGGCAGGAGGGTCACCTGAGCCCAGGAGTTTGAGGTTGCTGTGAGCTAGGCTGATGCCATGGCACTCTAGCCCAGGCAACAGAGTGAGACTCTATCTCAAAAGAAAAAAAAATTCCCAGTGGACAATGTCACTTCCTTCTCTAAATTCTTTCCTCTGATATACATTCTCTCCTACCATAAACACTTTTCCAGATAATACACATTCTTAGCTTAACCTCCCAGTCTAGATTCTCCATAGTCTGGTGGCTCTTAATTAATCCCTTTCTGAGAGCGCGGGTCGGGTCATGCCTAGGATCATGACACTGAATCCGATGAAAATAAAATCAATAAAAACACTTAGTCCCCGAAGTTTCCAAGTTGGGAAATGAAAGCAAAACATAATGGAGTTCCCAAAATGTTAACCTTCAATTTAAACTCCTTGGGTTTCCTTTGGATACTCCCTAGGAAACAGACCCTCACAGGACAAGCGTTTGACTTCAAAATCTTGACCATCAGATACTAACTAACTACAAACACCAAAGTTGAAAGATTTTCAGAGAAGAGGCTGAGGAGGAGAAACCAGAATCAACTAGGAAACAAACTGGACAACAAACAAAATTATCAAGAAACAAAAAGAAACTGTCGTTGCTACTCTCACTAAAATGATAGATTTTGAAAAGCAAAACCAGCCAAAAAGTCACATGGTCCCTTTACTTCTGAAGCCTCCAATAACAGGCTCTATTTCTAAGAAAGAGGGATCACAGGCAATCAAACGACAAATCACCGTGCATAAACTGACTGGTAAAATAGAGGGGAAAGTCAATTGGTAAATGACAAAAAGTGACTTACGGTGCATTCAATGATCTGTCGGGGAGGGATATGGGGAAAAGTCACGTCCCAGACCTCAGCCTCAGTTTCCCTACCCAAAAAAGGTGAGAACATGACACTTCGCTCAGAGAAGCCGGAGGGCCTTGTTCCACACGCCTCCACCTACTCAAAGGTCCCCTTCAAAGGCCGGACTCAGTGGGGGTCCCCAGTGCAATTGAGCCATGACACCCGGAGCCTTAGGAGTGGAAAAAGGAGAAAGGGAGGAGGGTCAAAGCGCGCAAAGCTCTATCAGTCACAGGAAAGTGATTTTCCCCACACACTGGGGGTACGACACCCGCCCAAGACCCAACATCCCCTCCCTACCGAACCACACCGGGCAGCCCCCATCTCTCCCTCCTTCCGGCTTCTCCCTTAGTTCCGGGCTGCCCCTCCGGCCGCGCCCCTGAACGCTCCCCGGTTGCCCCTCCTCTGGCTGTGTCTCAGCGGCCGGCCCGCCTGCCCACCCGCCGGCGCCAACGTCTTCTCAACCCCGCGGCGAAAGGATGCCGGGCCGGGCCTCCCAGGCTCCTGCCGGGCCTACCTGCAAGGCCGACGGGAGCTTTGTTTGCAGTCCTGTGGGCGAGGTGAGCCACAGAGAGAAGGAAGGAAGAGGGAGAAAGAAAGCAAGGGGTCCGCTCCACCGACCGGCGGGAGAAAGCGGCCTGAGCGCGGGGCCTCGCAGGTATCTCAGCCCTCGACCCGGCGCCGCCGCCGCTCAGGAGACATCAACCAAGAAGACGACGCAAAGATCACCGAATACCCGAACGCCCCAGACATCAAAGGAGGAGCGCCCAAGCAATCGCTCAAGGAACTATAGCCGAACGCCGAAAAACAGCTCAGCGCCAACACCAGGTCCGGCTCCTGTTCAAGGCATAAACAAACAAACCCAGATCATAAACCCTGGAGTAAGAGAGCTTGTGCTTCTGCCATTTTCCCTGTCGGTTGCCGGATGTTAAAGTTGTTCAGGGAACGGGAGTTTTTCTTGAGCGTGTTGAAGAACCTGTCATAGCGCAGTAACCCTTGTTGTCTAACTCTAGTTTAGCGCCTACGTTATGGATTCCCAACACTGTTTATCCCAATTGAGCAAATCACGTCATCTCATTTGAGCCTTACTTTCCTCACAGAACACAGAACAGTGAGGTGAATGAAAAGCAAAACCAGAAACAGAGCATGAGAGAGAATCCGGACTGAGGAACAAAGTGAACAATCTCTGTAAAACGTCCAATTTTGGCCAGGCGCTGTGGCTCACGTGTGTAAACCCACTTTGAGAGGCCGAGGTGGGAGGATCACTTGAGGCCGGGAGTTCCGGACCAGCCTGGGCAACATTGCTCTACCAAAAATAATTAAAAATAAATAAATAAAATAAATTAGCCAGGTATGTTGGCGTGTGCCCGTAGTTCCAGCTACTTCAGAGGCTGAGGCAGGAGGATCACTTGAGCCCAGGTATTTGAGGTTACGGTTAGCTATGATCACACCACTGCACTGTAGCTGGGGCAACAGAGCAAGACCCTGTCTCAAAAACACAAAATTTTAATTTTTCATGTTCTAATGTAGTTTTTGGAAATATCCATACAGAATTTTTTTTTTTTTTTTTTTTAAAAATTTTTTTTTTTTTTTTTTCTAAAAATTATTTTAAAAATTTTTTTTTTTTTTTTTTTTTTTTTTGGTAAACCAAACCACTGGGCAAAAAAATATGCATCCCATTCCAAAATAACTCTATCAAGGCTGAGACATATCT